CCAAATATGGAAATCTCCAGATATTTCCCAGTCCGACAGCATAGCCGATCATAGAGAGGATGTACTCCTTCTTGCTGGCCCAGTTCCCACGCTCAGTATTCTCATCGCCATCTTCCACATGTGGGTCCTGCTTAAAGAAAAGTTCCAAGCTGTCACTCAAAAATGTATTAGTCAATGGGAATGCACCCCTGAAAGTTTGTGTCAGAGGTGCAAACAAGAAGTCAGGAAGAGCAAACGAGAGAGCTGGCAGTGGAACAACAAAGCTAAAAGTGGGGCTAAAAGCCTGATCAGTGAGAAGGAGGAGGAATGAACTGGAAACAAAAGGATAAATAATTTATTTGCAAGTTTTAGAGATGAGTTTTTTTTGCGCTTCAGTGTGTTTCATTCTCTCTCAAATTTGTGTTTTTGTTCGATATGCAAGGAGTTTTGCTTTTTAATTTTCAGATCTGATTTTATTGTACAAGTTACGACATGTGTCAGTAATTATCTAATGCACCAGAACATTTGGAAAAACAACTTCATGTGTCAACAGTCAGTTTAGGAACACTAGCTTTGGACATATTTTAATTATTTCCACTCCTGGTGTTGATGTAGTGTTTTAAGCACAAAGGGGAAAAAAAAAAAACAGAACATCCATCATGATCATCTCTTGTGTTACAGTCACACTTGTAGTTATTGTGTGCATCATAAAAGACACTTTATTTGTAGATTTATTGCAATTAAACAGAAAAGAATCGTATTTTATGTAGAAATCAAGAAACACTACATCTTGTTTGAGCATTGGATTTTTGATTAGAAATACATGAAAGCATTTACTTTCCCAGTCTTTTTCAATGTAACTACTGTGTGGAAAATTATCCAGTGAAAGTCTGGTCTTACCTGTTCGACAACAGAAGGATTTCTGAAAATTAAATCCTTGAAAGTGTTCCAGCCGTATTTCCTCATGTCCTTTCACCTGCCCGTTAAAGGTGTGTATAAGAAATTTAAATCCTTCCTGCAGGTTTGCTTTTAAGTCCCCCTTCTCCAAAGATAAGTGAGAGATGCTTTCCATCCAATCACCTGCTTGGACCCTCCTCCTGAGGTGGGTTGTGTGTGTCTACAATTAAACCTTCTATGCTGCAACATAATGCACATTAGAGAAGTGAGTTCCCCTTCTGATGACTTTAGTGACTCACCTGCACTCTCCGAATCTGAATTCTGCTTCAGAAAATGGGGATTTCCGATTTGCATATTGCTGATTTCCGCTGTACTAAACTGTATTTGACCCCTCTCCTCAGCCTCATGCAGGAGTGTTACATAGTCTTTGCTGATAAATAAAAAGAAAATAGTGGAGCTGTGACTGTTGTTTGGTGTCCAGTGATGCAGGACAGTGATGTATGTGTGTGTGTGTTACTCAGGTGAGTGACTCTGTTCATGTAACCTTCACCACGACTCCCTGACACTGCACAGATGATGGCTGATCGGACTCATTTTGGTTGATGACATCGGCACATAATGACTGCTGGCACGAAAGCGTCTGTGTCACCTTTAATCACAGCCTGACGCTTTGACCGCAAGCACGACAGATGACATGACAGGTGATAGAGGGAGACAATTGTAAAAGTTTACTCTTGTCTGAGTCAGATTATTACAACAGCTATTACCAAAACTCACATTGAACTAATTCAGAAAGATTGAGGTATATTATGCCTCTCTTGCTGAGCAACATAGGTGTTTCCAAAGGTGTGTCCTTATATTCCAGTGTTTTATAATGCTGTCAAATGGGATTTCGTGTGGCACTGCAAATGGAGGTCTCTCTCTATGGAAAACACTAATGTAGGGAATCTGTTTCATTCTTTTGGACGATGTAGATTTTGGCAAACATAAATGTCTATTGTGATGGTGGTGGATCCCATTAGTAGCATAATAGTGGGATTCAGTATCATCCCCAGCGTTACTGTGTGCACACATTCACATTAGGCCAAGATTTCACTCATATTTTAGCTTGCAATTCTGGACTGAAACAAATGACTTTTTATGGGTCAAGAGATGTTCAACAAATAGAGTGTGGTTTATTTGTGTGTTTGTCAGGAGAACACTTCATGCTGCTTGTACAGATGATGCAGTCTATACTTTACCGACAAAAAGCATATCTGAAATGCCTTAATATTGACTTATGAAGAGAACTTTGACAAATGAGCTGCACCCCACCTCACTGCTTCAGTGATTTATGGCTGCTGTAACAATACAATATCGCCTTGGGATTAATAAAGTACTCTATGATCTGCAACATGCCTGGTTTGAATTCAACCATAGAGCTTTGCTGCATTTGTCTCTGTCATCTCCTCACTTTTGCTATGATGTAAAGACATGCAGAGCTTCCCTCACTTCACAAAAAAATACCACTAAATAGCTTGGGTAGTTAAGACCACTTCACTCCAACATGGATGCATTTGGTCATACCTGACACATCACTGCTCCTGGTATTTATTGCTGAGCAGGTAAGTTTGAAGCAGTACATGAACAGTATTATCACCCCGTGATAGTTACTCAGACATAGTGGGAGCTTTATCTCTGCTCAGTGTTCTCATTGTCCGGTGTGCATTAGTCTGTACCTGATGTTCTTTTGGGTTCTTATCTATTTTGGTGAGTGACGTTTGGCCACAAGATAACCACTGAAAGCGTATAATATACATTATCTGTAATGACGATCTGCCGGTGTGGTCACTGATTACAAAACACAGTGGAAAACATTACAAATATAGACATTGTGTGTCCTCTGACCATCGAACCACTGGCCAGCTGACACACAGAGGCCCTGATGCATCACCGTTCACATAGAGACAAAAACACACAAACACACAAACACACACACAAACACACACACACACACACCTCAGAACTACCTGACTTGCAAGAGATAGTAAATAACAATAACAATTTTAAAAAAAAACACTAACCAGTTTAAAAAAATCAATATAGAAAGACATAAAAACAAGAACTAATGATGAGGAAACTATACTTAGCGCTTCTTTTCCAGTGAAGCTTGTCAGCCTGATGACTCACTGTCATGAATTCATCTCCCATTCGTCTCATTAGATAAAATGACGTGGTTATGGGAGGAGGTCCCAAGAATAAAACACTATGAACAAAATGAACATTTCACAAAATGTGTAACTGCACACTGTAAACAATTTGGAGTCTATCCAAGCTGACTTAGGGTGAAGGCAGGGGACACCCTGGACAGGTCACCAGTCTATCACAGGGCTACACTTAGAGACAGATAACCAAACACATTCACATTCACACCTACGGACAAATTAGAATCACCAATTAACCTCAACATGTTTTTGGACTGTGTGGGAGGAACCCGGAGAACCCGGAGAGAACCCACGCTACACGGGGAGAACATGCAAACTCCACGCAGAAAGATTCCGGTGCCCCCACCAGGACGCAAACCGGAAACCTTCTTGCTGCGAGGCAACAGTGCTGCCAACTGCGCCACCTTGCAGCCCTTTTGTAAAAATTGACGGTGTAAATTATTATTTGTTGCCTGCTGTTCATGGTTATTATTGTTTTTGGCTCCGGAATAAGCATCACATTTTAAAGTTTTTAACCCTTTTTTTTCTGAAAAAAATAAAAAAATAAAAAAATAGCACACAACTGTCAGAATTTAACAGTGTTTTTTTACAGTAATATATTACACTCTAGGTTTTCACAGACAAAAATCCAAATTTAAAGGAGTCCAGTAGCTGCACAACCAAACACCCATCGCAGTGGTTATAGGGGCATTGTGGGAATTCCTTTCTTTTTCTCTTTTGGTTCATTGCCTTTATTGACTTCTTTGTGCCAACATTCCCTTCAGAGTTTTCCTCTGTGTTATACTAGTTTTCTTTGATGGACAAACATAGCCTCAGTTACAGGGTTTTGACTCTTTGTGGTTTCCTCAGTGGACCTGGCCTCTCTGTGTACTTCAGGTTCATAAAGTAAAGTGAAATATCATTTTATCCTGTCCATTAGGCTGTAGAATAATTATCCTCTCTATCCTCTTTTTAAAAACTTGCACCACTACACAAATGTGCACTCCAGGGTCCAGTAGTATTTGAAAAAGAAGGGGGGAAAAAATCAAACTCTATATGTGCAGAATGTATCATAAATGTGTGAAAATAAAAACTCTGTCCTTACAATAACTTTATAGATAACAAGTGCACGAGAGATTGTAATGGCTTAAGCTTTAATTTAAAAGATGGTACATTTATCCATTTATTTGTACAAAAACCTCTTTGTAGTATTTGTAGCACTTGTTCCAGGTCATTGACTCTTTCCTGAGCAAACAAACAACAAAAGCCACAAAGACTGGAGAATGTAGTGCAGTCTTCAGTTTACAGCATTACAGGTGATTCATGGGTCAGCTAAAATAAGAAAAGAAGTGCACAGATCTTTAATTAAAAATCCCAACTTTTATTTATTCTGCAGTGGGCTCCAAAACAAAAACCCTTCGTCAGTATAATAATCAATCCATGCAATGCATACAGTAACTCAAGAGTCATAACTTACACATCCTCTCCTCTGCTTCATCTAATTCACTACAGTACAGTATGGAGATGTTACTTCACGTGGAACATAGGTGCTTACTATGTCTCTAAGGAAAGTGGATTTCACTGTGCAAAAAAAGAGGATCGTCAGGACATCACAGCATTTTTTTTTTTTTTTATCACATAGACAAAATAATGTATCCAACTGCAGTAAACATATTTTCATGCAGTAGACAATAAAGTGTTTAATGACAGAAAATGACTCTGATTTGTGAATCAGATAATTCACATTACACATGATACAAAACGCATATGAACATTTTATCAGACAAAACAATGAAAAGCACGGAGACAGAAAAAAGAGAAGAAAATCTAATCATAAAGGTTATTGATCCTCACAGCAAAATATAGGTGGGATCAGGGCCCAGAAGACAAAAAACATCATGTGTGGCTCATGTATCTTATTGAGTTTATATATAATGTTTTTGTGGATAAAGGCTCCTATAGTTGAATTTAATTAGATAAATCTAACTGAGATTAGTAATCTAATTTGAGAGACTGTTTTTAATAATCCTGGTAAGGTCTCTTCATGTATGAAGCTCTGTTCTCTCACTGCTGCGTAATTAGTAGGTGTTACGATAAGAACTGCTGCCACCTGCAGCCAACCTCAAGTTATTCCATCGCCTCTGCTGTGATTTGGTTTCTGCACGTCGTAAAAATGCGTCACACTGCAGGTGCACGTTGTAAAGTGAACTGTGTTTCAAAGTATCACAGTTAGACCTCGATGCTGGAGGCCTGGCGCAGGCAGAGGGCCGACTCTGAAGGGATGTCCTGACGGTTGATCTCGTTCCCATCCAGTCGCAGCGTTCGCAGTTTGGAGAAATTTGTCACATCCACAATACTGCAGAAACTACCCAGAGTGAACTCTACAGCCACAGACAGAGGAGAGATGGCAATTCATTTATGTCTGTACGCATACAGCAGCACTGAAACATGCATTCACAAAGGGTTCCAGTAAAACTACCGGAAACATCTCAGGAGTAAAGAAAATGAGATCCTGAGTTAAAAACTAGTATCTTTAAGTGCCGTAAGACTGCAAAGTCTTACAGATAGGTTGCTCGTAAGACACTGATGTTTTCTTAGCTTTAATAACTTTTGACAATAACCGTTTTCTTCAAAGCCACTTACCTTTGATCTGATTGGCCTGCAGATAAAGATGCTGCAGTGTGGTGCTGACAATAGGGATCCTCTCCAGCTTGTTGAAGCTCAGGTCCAGTTCCACCAGCCCCGTCACATTGAAAGTGTTAGGAGGGATGCCCTTATCAGTGAGCTGGTTGTGGGCCATCCTGACATACTGCAGCTGAGTGAAGCCGCCCAGGAAGCCCTCAGGCAGCGAGTCGATGGAGTTGGACTCCAGGTAGAGCTGGTGCAGGTGTTCAGGGAGAGCATCTGGGACCTGAGACGGTTAATAAAAATACATTTCACTCGAGCTTACATACGTGTTTAATGAGGCATTTGCAAAACACACAGATGCAGAAATACCTTCGCCAACTTGTTGCCGCTGATGTCGAGCAGGGTGAGAGACTTCAGCGCCTTTAGCGATGCGCCGATGTCTGAGACAGCGTTATCGTGGAGATAGAGGATAGTGAGGTTATCCATTCCCTCCAGGTCTGCGGGTGTTACCTAGGCAACAGTGGCAATAAGTTTAAGGTCTAATATCTGGACTGATGCTGGACCAACAACAGAGGAGAGAGAACACAGAGGGGCTATGAATGAACACCAAACCGTGTGAAGGTTTACCTTTTCAATGTGGTTATGGTTGATCCTCAGGTCTCTCAGGGAGCGAGGAAGGTTTGGAGGAATGCTGGTCAAATTGTTGTGTTGCAGATACAAACGCTCCAGTCCCTCCAACTTCAGAAATACCTAAAAGTTTATGTGGAAAGCTCACCAACATGTACATGATAGAATATCAACTGATATGAAACCCACAATAAAAAAAATAATATACATGAAGTTATCCTTTTGCAGTCAATTTTTTTACTCAAATCTTTTTTATTACCAAAATAATAACCAGCCTTCGGCAAAATCTTTGTAGTCTAGAGAGACATGTCTGTGTGTTTGATTGACATCAGCTGGCAGGTTTAGCTCCAGCAGGAGAACAAAAACAAAACTAAGCCAACTTGTGTGTAGCTGTGTGCGCACAGTGTGCTGTTAGCTGTTGTACTGAAGCATAATGAGTTTACATATTTTTTAATAGCTGCAGCTGACTACCTAATTAGACATCTAGCATGCAAACTGATGGCTGCAGAGCACTTTTACTGGGGTGACTGAATTTTAATGACTTTGGCTTGTTCAAGGTGCAGGACAAGGCGTGTTTTCATGTTCATAAGTTAAAAAGAAAGGCGTATTTATCCAAAAATATTATTGTGGGATGTGGGCTGCAAAGTCAGTGACTCAGTGTGACCGTCTGATCTGCTTAAGCTCATGCTATTTCTTTATCCAAATATGTTTTAACATCAAACAAGCAGACACCATAAAAAAAAAAAATATATATATATATATATATAAAAGAGAAATTTCTTTCTTTCGGTTTCTTCTTTTCTTTTTAAAGCAAAACACATGAAATATTTCCCACAAAGATATGTTGCTGCAGCAGATTTTAAAAAGAGCAACGTCTTGCCAGTTGGACTTTTTTTCTCCCCCACTAACACATACAGCAATAAAACAAAAATGACACAACCAGTTAGACACCTGCCAGCCATCTGACAACCATTTAGAGCAGCATCACTGCATCTGAGCTCATAAGTGTGTCTGGATATGTGTGTGACCAGATGTATTTTTACCTTCATGCCAATGGCATCAGATCTCAGCTGGTTGTGATGCATCATGAGCCACACCAAATTGGTTGCATTGACTAGAGCTGAGTCAGGCACAGCTGTGATAGCATTGTTTTGGAGGTACAAGTACTTGATGCGGGAGGGAACTGTTGGCATGGCTGTCAGACCCCGCCCATCACAGTACATGGCGACAGGGAAGGTGGGGGGGCAGTCGCACTCTTCAGGACAATCCCCTCCAGCGGCCGTGAGTGCCTGCACGGAGCCAAAATAGTATCCTGGGCTTTGCCGGGTGTACAGCCAGGCCAAAGGGTCCCGTACTTGGGAGAGAGAGAATGGAAGCAGGGCGGACAGGAGGAAGACAAGCACCAGACGCATGGCCATGGTCACACAGATCTTCAGTGTTATCTAACACACAGGCAGTAGAGAGACAGTGGGGTCAAAAGTCAAAACAGAAGAATTCATTTACAAATCCGCAAAATTATTTTCATAATAAGATTTATATATTGGCAGTTATTTCAAAAGATTTTGAAACAGATGCAGCTTAAAGGAACATAATAGTTTTTGTATGCATGAAGAGAAAGCTCCCCTCTAACATCTTGCTATAAAAAAGAAGTAATATGTTGATTTAGCTGCCGAAAGGTCAAAAAAATGATTTTGCAAAAGCACAAGTTCTCTCTGAGAAAGCTACCATTCATCAAGAATATTTTTCCTGTGAGCCTCAAACCCCCACCACGACTTGAATGTTGTCCTACTGAGGTTAAATGAACAGTCAAAGGTGCAGTTCAGACACTGACTTTGTTTTGGAAATGTAACTGCCTGCAGAGAGGCACATTCTTAGAGGTCTTAGTCCACGGGGAAGCTGGAGTGAAAGCAAGCCTGCTCAGAGTGCCACTTTTGTGAATGGTTCTTGGAAATTGTGGCAAAAATATTCAATAATCCAAATTGTAGAGGGTAAAAAAAAAAAAAAAAGTCAAATTAAAAGATACGACTATCATCATGTCCCATCGGGCAGACACATGTTCACACACATGCATGCACACACACACCTACCTGATTAGAGAGACTGGCCCTCCTCGTCCCTCTCTCTCTCTCAGAGTGTGCTCAGGACTGGAGGGGACTCAGACAAACAGTTTGAAAAAAAAAAAAAAAAAACTTTCCCCTCTCTCCTTTCCGTTATGCCAGCCCCCCTCTCCACCCTTCTTTCTGGTCCTTTTGCTGTTGGTTACTTCCACCCCCTTATCCAATCGCCTGCACCCCATTGTGCTGGTTCAGGAACGGCCCAGCGCACCCCACACCACTCTTTTTTCCCCTAATGTGAATGATGTGAGATGCAGTGGCTGTGAGAGATTGTTCCCATCTGTGTGCAGCACATTCAGTCCCTCAGTTTCCCCCTTTCAGATGGACCCCACTCTTCCTTCACAGTAAATAGACCTTTGCACCTTTGCTTTGGAGTGCTTGAGCTCACTGAATGAATTCTTTTTTAAAAATTCTCTTCCACAAAAAAATTAAAATAAAAAATTAGGACAATACCGCACATCACACGTTGTTGTTAAGGCCTCATGTGGAAAAGTCAGCAGAAACACTGGTGTAAAATGTTACACCACAATAAGGTAAATGTGGGCAGAGTGAGAAGGTGTGTGTTCCTGGGCTACTTAGTTTATATAAGTACAAAAACTGCTGTAGTGCAACATCGCAACAAGGCTTTTTTTTTTTTTGTTAAATTTACGGTTTTGGTGACATGAATGGAAACACTAAAAAGCTTATTATAAAGTAATATTTTCCTGACAAAAACAGCCCACAGTTTGAACTACAAATTAGGAATCAGGTACCAGCAGGGGACGAAGTAAATGGTACAGGGTACAGTGCTAGAAAAAAAGTGTAATTTAGGAAAAATGGTGCATCCTGGAAGGTACTGTGCAATGACAAAAAGAAGTCAGCAGTTGATACTATACAGCGTGAATACCCTGGTGTTGTGTAGTGTTATCTAAACTGTACATCGAAGTTTCAGTCGACAACAAACTTTATTTTAGGAGAAAATACAATAAAAAAAGGTGGTGCTATTTCACAGGTGTGTTGTCAGCAGGCCAGCTGTAGCCACGCTCCAGGCATTTATTAGACCGATGTCTTCTGCTTCATTGCATGGTTTGGAACGAGGACAAGTTGGGGAATGGGTCTCCAGTTCTTCAGAAATTTTATTTTCTCGCAGCCATGTTTCTGTGGTGCTGCAGGGGCTCGTAAAGCGTATGCTGGAGTAGAAAACAGGCATACCTTTGTCAGCACACAGCTGTGGGAGGCCTCTATTGTGATCTGAGGAGGAAAATACACGCTATAATTAAGTAATAATATACCACACAAGTGTAGGAGGATCAAGAATCGAATACTCATTATTTAATGAGGGATTTAAGAGTTTAAAATGTAACTGTGAGAATATTGTTCCTTGTGAGGGTTTTTTTCTTCTTTTTTTTCTTTTATACCCATTTTTAAGCACTTAAAGAAACAAGTGAGTATTTTATTAGCACCTGATTCACAAAATGACATTACACTCTAAGTCATGGGTGATATTTTAAAACATTATTCAAATAAATGATCAAAAAACACACAAGAAAACAAAGATGCTCTTCAGCCTAGTTAGCAAAAACCTCTGTGCCAGAGACAAAGTTCTGAAGTAGGGGTGGATCCAACTCTTTCCGTTCTTCTCCAACAACATTACATCTTGTAAAGGGTTAAATGAAAACATGTGTGACAGTCTTCTTATGTCGTCTGTCTGGTTTTAATGTGGGCCTCTTCCTGCCTCTGCATCTTCTCTCAAACTCGGGCTTCATCTAAGCCAGTGTTTTCTCCTCACTTTTATCTTTCATTTCTCCAAACAGTATCAGTTCTCAGAAAGATTTTATCAACTCTGTTTATCTGTTCTTCTGGGAAACTCTTGTAGTGTGACAAGTGCCGAGATGTGTGATTGTTGATTAAATAAACATGTTTACGAAGGCAGTGGTGTGTCTGGACCATATTTGTACGGCATTAAAATTCTGTGTATGTAAATATGTAGCGTACCACACATGGAAACATTCTGTGTGATAAAACATTGGTCTGATAGTTGAGCAAAAGCAGTAAATAAGTTAGAATTTTTTTGGATGTGATATTTCACATTGACTATAAACTTACTTGCTTGTATTTCCTCCAGAGTTCCACACAGATTGTCATTAGCATGCTGTGAATGTCTCATCCTCTGCATCTATTTTTGCCTGAGACATAACAGGGAACTGTAGCAAAAAGACCTGAGTTATTTGCTTTCTCGCTGCGAGTTTTGCAAGAGGATCAACACCAGTCTTATATCTGTCAAGTAAATATGCAGCAAGAACCAGGAGACAGTTAGGGACTGTTTGAAAATGATTGGCCTAATGAGTCTGTGCCTTATGATTGACTTTGTAAAAAAGAAAGCCTCTTCCTGGGAATATTAATGTTCTCTTTAAACTCTTCCCTTACTTTGCTAAAGAAATTGTGTTTTAGAACAACAGAACAGTGTTACATGAGCCCAGCTGGTTTAGTCATGTACCCCAGTTTAGACTATAGTAACATAAGGAATGTGCAGAACCAATGTACACGTTAATAAAACAATGATGCACAGACTGAGCTGTTGCTCTCTACATATGGCAAAGTAAACATTTATGTACCAGGGTGCAAGTGACAGCTGCCTTTCAAAAGGAAAGCTAAAATAAAGTAGAAATTCGGGGGGAAACCCTCCTGTACTCGCCTAAAAAAAGTCAGACTATGCTGCCTTTGGCCAAAAGAAAATAGTTCTCTCCCTCTTTTCCGAACTCCGCTCTCCTCCTAATAATTTTCATACAGTCCCTTGGCTTAGCTTAGTATAAAGACTGAACCCCCCCCTCCAAAAAAAAAAACTACATCCCCAAACTTTAAGCCTACCCCACAACAGATTTAATTAGTTAAATCCATATGAAACTCAAAGCGCAAAAACACTTTGCCATTTTTGAATATTAGTTGGCAAAGCTCTGCACAACCTGAAATCTCTGCTTTATCATCCGACAGCCTCGTGGTCTTTTTGTTTCCAGTGTTTATGCCAAGATAAGCTAATTGTCTTCTGACTGCATCTTAAGATTTCACAAATATATGTGAGACCAGTTTCAGTTTTGGCAAGGAAACAAGTAAACAAAGTACTGAAATATTCCTTTAGGTCACTTACATAACTTTTGAAAACTTGTCCAAACGCTGCATCACCTCTGTGAGTGATCAAAGAGAAGGCTTGCCAGCACGTCATAACTAAAGCACCTCTGAAGGAAGAGTATAAGAGAGTCTGCTGAGTAAACTGGCTTTGTGCCTTACACATGTTATTTAAGTTGGTCGTTTCTTACTATAGCTATTGTGTCCGACGTCTGATGGCAAAAGGCTTTACACATCAAAATAGGGAAGAAAGAAACAACCAGATGTCCCCATTGCATTACAGCGGAGCTTGGGAAGTGTGGCGAGGACTTTTCCCTTTCCTGTGTGTCCGCAGGCATCTGTGGATACCAGATGCAGCAGAGGAGACCTGCCAGTTCTTTGCCCAGCCTTGTGAAACACCATCATATTCATTTTTCTAAATGTAATTTTATGTGTCAAATTGAATTATTTCTCAATGTAGCTTTCTTCATGTCGAAATAGATCAGTGGAGTTGTTTGTGTTTTGCACCTGTGAAATGAACCAGGGTGAACTGCGACCCTTTACTCACTAAGCTGACAGTCTCATGAGGTTAATTTCTCTTCCAATATAACATCAAAGATCTGGTTTTACGAGCTGGTTAAGCAGATAAACTTTGTTGTGATGAGACGTAAAGATAACGTCTCCACAGAAACATAAAGTCATCGAGTGAGAAACAGGAGGTGCACCAGTTGTCATTTAGAGTGAGAGATATTGATTCTTAGACTTCAAAGTAAGAGGCCAAAGTGGACTTTGGGCAGTTGCAAACACATCCAACCCCCACCCATGTCCATCCCCCCGTCTCCTGTCTGAGTCCTGAGCAGCGCTGGGCAGGGATCAGAGGATCAGAGGACCAACCCTTTCAGCCCAGGCTGTGAATGCTTCACAGGAATGTCATAGAAATTTTCATACCGAGAGCTGACTCTTTGCAACTCACCTGCAGCAAAATGTGCAAAAACGACTGCAAAATTCCTAGAAACTCCACAGAACATTTAGTTTTCTCAATTAAAGCTTTTTTTTTTTTCTTTTTTTTTTTTTCCATCTCCAGGATGATGTCAGGTCAGTGAGGACACTTTGTTTGGAGGCCAGCGTAATGCCTGAAACTAACTGAACTGTGTTATTATATATGTATGGCAGTCAGATGTTCTCTCATCTGGCTGCCATTGAGATTTCAACAGTCCTAATAAATTCGTAATAATAAAAAAAATGCAGGATGGCCGTTCATTAGTAAAATGTTGAAAATATGTTTGGCTTGTTGCTAGGGAACCGCTTATGGATGAAGAAGACACAACAACAAAATATAATGAGACTCAATGAATAAACTCTGATTGCTATCACCAGCTGGTGATGCGTGGTTGTCATGATCTGCGGCAGCTTTCTTTGAACTACAGAGTTTGTCCAGCTCTCATTTCCTGGACACTGACTCTGACCTTAACCTTTACATGCCTTAACCCCAACTCCTATCCTAACCTCAACCAAACGCTAATAGTAAACCTAGTGTGAACCAGACGTTTGTCTCCACAATGTGATTTACACAAATACACACACACACACCCACTGTGCAACAACCAATACATCAACGCTTCTTTTGAAGTGTGCCTGACCTGCTCGCTCACTGTACGACACACGAAACATAACAAATTCTGCACTGTTTTCAATGCTGCATTAAATAAAAAAATAAAGAAGAGACACGTAATAACATAGAGGAAACAGAGAAATTAATTTTAAGGAATGATGCTCTTCGTCATCCTCGGACAATGTGGCTCCTTAAGGTAACTTGAACCATGGCACCCCAGGGCACAGGGGCAGCAAAACCATGCGATAGAAAGCAGATGTCCATGTACACATACACACACACACACACATGCATGTGCACAGACACACACACAAACGCATGCATAAATCACACACAGATGTTCAAGATTACACCAAGTCGAGCTTCTCATCTTTTTCTCATGTGAATAAAAGCAGCAGCTTTTTCTGTATGTATGTTTTAATTACGGGTCTAAGCTCAATTCTGGCCTCATCTTGGCAGAATTTATGATTTGGCCAGTGTTTAAATCTACAATGAAAAGGGACAAATTAAAGCTACAGTGAGGGATGTCCTGGTGGCCCAGTGCAGCTGCAACATCCCCAGTTTATCACCACGCCAGAGACCGAGCATAGCGCTGTGAAAAGGACAGATGATAAGATCAAGAGCCTGAAGTGAATTTCAAATGACAGAATGGCTCCAAAAGAAAAAAATGTGTATCCTACAGTGATAATAGAATGTTTGTTTTCTCTTTCAGTCTTTGCTCCAGTTATGTTTCTTCATAATAATAAAAAAAATCCCTTCTTGCAAATTGGTATCTATCTTTTTTTTTTTTTGCTGGTGTGCTTGTGTCTGGACCGTCACCAACTATGTGTGTGCTAATGATTAGTGAGGAAATAGAGCCCTCTAGTGTAAGTGACAGCAAATGTTGGAGGATAGAAATCAGCAGAAGATGGTGAAGAAAAATACTAGTAATAAGAAAAGGACATGGAAGAGAAAACTGATTTTATTACAGTCAGATTCAGCCAATGATATAAACAACTGACTGCTCCACTTTCTAAAAGTATCACATTAAATATTCAATGTAAAACCATGTAAATCTGTAACAATTACCAAAACAATATCACATTATCAGTTTATTGTATATTTATTTTCCACAGATGTACTGTAACCATAACTACTACTTGTCTCTCTCTTGTCTCTAACCTTAAACCAAGCATTCATGCTAACACGCAATGATTTACAATTTGGGAACTTGCTTTCTGTCCTTAAAAACTAGGCGAGTCCCCACAATGTGACTGTGTAAACTGATTTACGACTCCACAGCATGAGTAATACATGTACACACAATCACACACACAGGGACACGCCAACAAAAAGTGGAAAAAAAAGGTCTAATCAGGGTTGTTGCAGCTGCTGTTTTGAGCACAAAAAAAAATAGATGAATAAAAAAATGACTGTACACCGGCTGTTCAGCACCAAACAGCAGACAAATGTAGTTAGCGACTGACTGGTGAATATGGTGCATTTATCTTGAGTATATTTCCCTCAGGAGCTGGAAAAACATACATTTATTAGGAGAAAATAACAAGACTTTAAATGTTGAGTTGTCAAAAAAATAAAATAAAAGGTACAGCAGGCTTGGGGGAATAAAAATGACAAACTAGCATGGAAGATTGTGTGAAAGTTTTGAACAACCACTGAAAGGACTTTGAGATGAGAGTGTTTTGTCATCTTCTGTTCTCAAGGTCAAGTCTGAACTTGAAACTCATCAGGTAACATGTTTGTAGATTAAAGTTTGGTTGCTTCTGGCAAAACCTCTGACGAGCTGTTTGAGGATCTGCTCACCAAACAGGTTGGGAGCTGACGGGTAAAGCAAACTTCAGCTAAATGTCATTATTTGGAAAAGATGATGACTTATTAAACATCAAAAACAAGAAATTCTATCTAACTAGGTCATAACTGACTGATTGTTGTACTGCGACATATATGACTGTCTCTCTGAAGCTACGTCAGAATGGATGTTACCATGTTGTGTTCCTGAGAATTTTGTTCATACGGATTTTTTTTTTTGACTAATTTTGTCTTCTTTGACAGATTTGAAGACAATTCCATTAGTTTAGATAAGGTAGGGCTCTATATAATGACACAAACTGAAAATTGATGGATGAGTAAACGAATTACGTGTAAAAATATAAAGGGTTTTGTTGTGTTTTCTATTACTACATCTGATCTCCATAAATTATTGCGCAAATGTGAATAAAGACCATACTCTATAGTTAGGTCCTGGCTTTTCTTTATTCTCACAGTCCCATCGTACACCAGAGCAAAATTACAGCAAATTCAATTAAAGATAAAATGTTCCTATTGCTTGTGAATTCTTTAAATGTCAGCTGGTTGGTGCAATATTTTTTACACACTGACTTAAAAGTCTATTCTCTCTTCATTCCTTTAACCTCAAATACTGAATTTGACATATTTATCTAGATTCTCATGTCATGTGTCTCTAGTGTTTTTTAGATTAGGACATTGGTGTGTTAAAGGTCCCTCTAAAACATAAAATAAACAGTGAGTTCTTCCTTGTTGTTCCTTTTCTTCAGTTGTTATCTGTAAAATGAGAATTTCTTTATGTATTGAGCCATCCTTCCAAAGTCTGTAACCACTTATCATTGGCAAACCTGAGCGGTTGGAGCCTTTCCCATCACACATTGAGGGAGAGAGAGCTGTACGAAGGAAATGTGTTTAATCCATACATACCACAAATTTATGACCCACCTCCAAGCATCTTTCAAACAGTTTAATGTGACAATAAGAAAAAGCTAAATTTGGCAAGAAGAACGTTTACACATTCAGTGTAAAAATATTAATTCAGTATAAGCGTTCAAGGCAGGAGTGACTTTACATATGAGGGAGGGGAAGAATTATGACTAGAGCATGCAGGGTTTAAGAGAAAAGCTTTCTTCAGGAGCAGCGGCATCAGAGCCAAACCATTTCCTTCTCCTGTTTATGAGTACAGCAGACGCAGCAGAGCTCAGAGACTAGGACAGTGAGCAAATTGCTGCTGTTGACACCGTGTCCAAGCTCTCAATCTTTATTCCAAAGATATTCAGCCTACCTGTTAGAAACCAGTTACGAAACACATGAATGGATTTTTGTCTGATTAATGTCAAATTTATGTTGAGTTCAGCACTTGGTAAAGATTGGAATATCTTAAAAAAAAAAAAAAAAGCTTGACAGATTCTCATGAACTTTATTAGTTTATTGGCTGTAGAATTATAAACACTAATTACTTTGGGAATCCTGACATTTTTCAATGGGTATTGGATGCATTGCATGTGATACAGATATCAACTATGCCTTGATGAGAACTTAAATTTTCACCTGAATTTTCCTCTCATGTCACCACAAAATGACATTAGAGGTTTTGAGTAGAATGTCTTGATAAATATTGGTTGGATTGTCATTCACATTGGTAGAAACTTTTAGAGTTTTAACATTCAAACCACTGACAGGTGAAAACCATCTCTTTACAACGTAATGTTTTGCTGGGAAACCTTGGGTCGTGGCATTCATGTGGATGTTACTTCGAAACACATCACTCAATCACACTCCTCTATAGCAATGGTGATCTGCAACGGAAGCAGCCTTCCCTAACAGGACAACGAGGCCTGCAACAGCATAAGAACTGCTCAGGAATAGCTCAAGAAACACAGACAAGAACCCAAAGCGTTAACCTAGCCTCCAGATCGCCAAGATCCCAGTCTGATCTAGCATTTGCATGATGCACTTAAACAAATCTGGTCGATGGAGATCCACCCCACAACCTGAGTGACCCGAAAGACCCACCACCAACGTCCTGGTACCAGACACTACAGGACACTCTGAGACTCCCATGTCAAATGGGTAGCTATGGCTCAGATGGTAGAAAGGGTCGTCCACTAATTGCAAGGTAGGTGGTTTGCTCCCCAACCCCCCACCCCCACCCCCAAACACAAGTACTCATTGTAAATTTTGGAAATTGCATTATGGGTGTGATTCTGTGTGGTTTTCCTAGAGGGAGCTCTTTACATGCTCTGGTCAGGAAATAAATGTCCCAATTTTTCTCAATTGTTCTCCACCTTTCCCCCCTTTTCTCACAGAGCTTCCCCCGTATTAGGAGTGAAGGGAATCTGGAACCGTTTTCGTCTCTTCTGGTCAGATGTTCGCAAGACGTTTCTTCCTGCGTGATACACACACACACACACACACACCTACACACACATACACACACACACACACACACACACAGTCAAACTCACACAGATAGACATACACACACTGATGCACACAGAATGGTCTCTTTGGCTCCCCAGGTACTTTGTGGCTTAAATGCCTCCAGGCAGATCACATACTGTAGACTCAGACCCACACACAGACACACACACCCACACCCACACCCACATGCATGCACACACACACACACACACACACACACACACACACATACACACACACAAAGATATACTTGAATACTGATCAAAAATTCCTCATATTCACTCAAAGTTCTGCGCTACCAGAATCCAAGTCCAGCTGTACCTCATTTCTTTCCTCTTCTTTTTCCTGTGAGCCCTTTTTGTGTGTGTGTTTCTTTTTTTTGTGCATCTCTGAAAGCAAACATGTTTCCACCAAATGTTGTGTGTTCAACTGTTACCAAGGGCTGAGAGAAGGGAAAAGGAAGAAGTGAGTGAGGGAAGTTTATGGAGGAGGTCTGGGGTCTGGGATGTGGGCAGCGTTTGAAGAAGAGGAATGTATCAGACAGCAGGCAAACATTGCTGGTAGCTTGAAAAAACACACACACACACACACATTTAGACACACTGACACACACTTGCATTTTAGCTCCCGAGGGTCTCATTGGAAATTTAAGTCAACCTGCCTCCGTTCTGTAGCTTCTGATCAAACAGGTAAGCGTCACTTTGCTCTTTGTTTCTTGTCTGCCCGCATTTCCTCTCTCTGCAAGGCAGGCAAAACTGGAAATGATGGAAACTACAATGTGTGGTTGTTAATTACAGTAATCTCTTGGCAACGCTCTGAGCATGTGCTGCACTGTACTACTGTGCTGTGAGCAAGGAAGGCAAAATGCAGCATTGCAAACATGCTGATCAAGTCAAACTTCCTGATGATGCAAAGATTTCTTACAAATTGCTGTGTTACGTAGTGACTTGTGTGTGTTTGTGCATGTGCTTTCGGGCATACCAGCTTTGTGGGTGTTACTGTAACCATCTGCGGAGGCAGGAAAAATGTATTCTTCCTTTTCATTTTCATAGGTTAGAATGCAAAGAAGTGTGTGGGCAAAAATAACCAAGTGTGCAGTGCCACACAGCTTTCATTCATTTGATTTTTATTCAATAATTCCTGTACTCGAGAGAAACTGACATTGAAAATGTGATGTTGTTTGACCTCACACAATAGTTTATCTTCATTTTCAAACCACAGATGGATATCTTTTCTTTCTTTTTTTTAAATTCAATAGCTTAACAGTTCCTTAAAGTCGAAGTTCCTTCTTTAAGAGAAAGTTACTGCAATGCACTTCAGTTAAGTTGGGGGATTGCGAGTGCCAAATTAAACAAGACTAAGCATCTACAGCCATGCTAGCAGTTCTTTGAGGCTGTACATTCATTTTCATTTCATTTCATTAAAGCATATTCCAAGTATGTCGGCCACAAGTAACTAGAGTACCAGTCCACAGACGCAGCAGTGCTTTAAGTTACATGCAGTTTAGGTGCTACAATTCTCCGTGTTCACTATCATAGTGTTGTATTTTAGCATTTTAAAGTTTGCTAATTAGCATTAAAAACCAAATACAAAATCAGCTGATGGAAATGTCATTAGTCTGCAGGTATCTGGCCATAAGTCAAAGTATTGGGCAAATTGAAACTTTCACTGTAGAATAGAGTGAAAGAGGAAATGAAGGCATCACCAAAGTTATTGAAATGAATTCTGAGACTAACAAAAATATCTGCACGTAATGTCATGGAAATCCACTGTGTAGATTTCAAGATGTTTTATTCCATAATAGAGAACTTGTCCTGCTGGTAGCATTAGAAATGAAGTAATGGGACCATCGATGTTAGTTGGTGTCACCCTAAGTAGCATATAAATGTCTGCACTACATTCCATTGCAATCCATCCTGTAGATTGTTAGATTTTCAGTATAGATGAAAGTGGAAAACCCACTGGCTGACCACTGACCTTAAAGCTGTGTCACTCTGACATGGCTGAAGATGATCAGAACTGATTCTCCAAGGGTTGCATGAATCTTACACCTCCTGCAATATGTTTGGTTACCAGTGATGTGCCGTCAGGGGCAGCAAGGCCTTCTCTGCTGGCCTAAACTCTATCAGAATCACTGACTTATGTTGCAAAATGTTCCCATCAATCTTTTCACTTTATTCCCAGTAGTCTAATCCCTTCATTTCATAGCATGTCTCTGGGCTGTGGTGCCATGGTGATGGCGGTGCGCATAGACGCAGCGGCCACTTCAGGAGACGACAAAAGTGAATGTTTTGAGTGTCTTGTCTATCCCAGACGTTCATTCCGCAAAACTTGTGGCCAGGAGACTTTGCTGGGCATCAGGACAGTGAATGGCGCTGGAATTGCAGCGATCGGTTGTGATTTGGACATGCAACACCAACACGGAGTCCGATAGGAGACTACACCGACAGTTACCTGAGAGAGAAGGAAATGCAAACAGTACGAATGTAAACAAAGGAGGAGAAAGAGAGCCGGGATCCATGCTAAAGGCTAACCTCTCCAGACCAGCAGGACCGTCACTCCTACTCTCCAATGTCCGCCCCCTCGACAACAAGCTGGATGAGTTACATTTGCTGGGAGAAGCCCACAGAGAGTAGAAAGACTGCTAGGTGTTTGCTTTAACAGAAACATGGCTCCATGACAGCATCCCAGATGGACATACAGCTGGAGGGGACAACATTATTCTGGGCAGACAGACAGCTAGCTCTGGGCAGCATCTGTGGCTTCATCATTGTTACACCATCATGGGTGTCTTTGTGTCCCTGAAGACCTACCAGGACCTGAAGAGGTTCACTATGTTCAACTAATGGCGGCGTGCATGGACGCAGCGCCCCCTTCAGGAGGCAGCGAGAGTGAACGTTTATTGTCTTATCCCAGATGTGCATTCTGCAAAACTTGCTGGTTGAATAATCCTGAAGAAACGCTCTCTCATCTTGTCTGTACTACTGTGTACAGCAAAGTGACAATAAACCTGATTTGATTTGATTTGATTTGATTTGATTTGATTTGTTTTGATTTGATTTGATTTTTGATTTGATTCCAGCAGCGTATGGTTATATGTTTATATCAGAGCGGCTCTCAGCGACTCAGTACACCCAAGTCTCAGTTAGAAATGTATATTTCCAGTGTCTAAGCTAAGACACTCCTAAAGAGTTACAGAAGACTTTATAAAACCTTCATAGGTTTATGGCAGCACTTATCCTGACTAATAAAATGACTGACTTTAAATATCGGATTTGTCTTAATGTTCAGTTTATAGGACCTTACCATCTCTCTCCATGGCTCTCCTGTGCTGCGGCCTGATGGTACTGCTGTGTTGCTTTGGTTCGGCCTCGGCCACTGTTGGTGCAGACATGGACTACGGAGGCATCCCTCTGTGGATTAACCGCCTGCTGGGTGAGCCCAGCGTGCTGAGTCTGCAGGGACGGATGGATCCGGCCTGGTTCCGAGCTAACAATCCCCTGGCTTGCCCTGAGCAGTGTGACTGTCCCATCCAGTGGCCCACAGCACTCTACTGCGACCACAGAGGTCTGGCAGACATCCCTGAGCGACTGCCAGACAGAACCCAATACCTGTTTCTTCAGGTAGGAAAAACACTGACACGGGTTCTGAGCTTGTGTTTTCTTTCCAGTGGTCTGCCTCTAACCCATGGTGGTTTTTCATTTCCTCTTCACATTCTACACACTAACTGACCTCTACAACACCATAATGTATATATTTTTTTGAAAGGATGGAAAGTATAAAACAACAAATTGGATAAGGCATTGTTTTCTGTTGTTTCCAGGGTAACAACATCTCGTCCCTTCCCTCATCTGTCCTGACCAACATCACTGGTCTACGCTGGCTCATCTTGGACAACAACAAGCTGCAGAGTGACAAGCTAGAGCAGGCCTCCCTGCAGAACCAGACCCAGCTGTGCTACTTTTTCGCCAACCACAACCACCTGACTTCAGTGCCCAGTGCTCTGCCAGCTGGACTCAAACAGTTGCGACTGGCTCACAACCAAATCAGCAGCATCAGCCCGAAAGCTTTCCAGAAACTGCAAAACCTGACGCTGCTGCTGCTGCAGGGAAACAGACTGCAAACCATCAGAGAGGGAGACCTCAAAGGTATTGTAATGTGTCATTTCCTTTCTTCACACATGCAAAGTCAGTTTTGAATACCTGGGATAGAAAATGAGAGCGCTGCAGCGAGAGCACACAAACAAAACAAACATATAGAAAAAATATTTTGTTATTGATTATGTGTAAATCTCACTTCCTTTTCACCTGAAACTGGGACTAAATATGCTCTAAAAATAATGTTTGGGCTCAACAACAAAAAAATAAAGCAACAGTTTGCATCAATGTTTAAGTTAAGATAACTTCTACAGAATTTTTGTTCAACTAAAAAACTATGAGATACGTGATACATGAATTAGCTTTTCCTCTGCAATCAAAGGTATTTTATATTACCACTTAATGATTGGTAGCATAAACACAAGTCTTTAAGTTGATAACTCATGAAAATAAAGTTATTTTGGGGAGCATTTCTGAGTTACTTAAGAAGGATTTTAAGTGTTATGTAGTCAAGTAATGTAATTAACACAAGTTTTTTAGTTGGCAAATTAAAAAAAAGTTAGTTCAGTGTAAAGAAGACAGTCATGGGGACTTGATATCCTGACGTCAAGGTGAAGAAAAATGTAGTTAACAAGCCCATTTCATTAAGTTACCTTAACCTGAACTGAGTTTTAAATCAGTTCACTTTTAAAGAAATTTAAGTTTAAACTGCACACAAGATCAAGTTAATGCAATTACAACATTATTCTGTCAACCCACCCCATCTAAATAATGCAGTGTAATGCAACTTCAAAGGTTTATCTACAGAATTAACTTTTAATATTATTATTATTTTGTCTTGTATTTAATAAAGTGGAGGGGAAAAGTTCCCTGAATGACGTTTTAGAGTGCACTAACAACTACCCTGAAAATGTTTAAACTCATTCTATCTGTCATTTGTATGTATTAATGTTTGCATATGTGTGTGAATGTTGTCTTGTCATCCTATAGGCCTGATTAGGCTGAATCTGTTGGACCTCAGTGGAAATTCGTTCTCAGTTGTCCCCAAACATTTACCTCCCTCCGTCCAGCAGCTCTACCTGTCTAACAACTCTTTCTCTGCACTGGATGAGGACAGTTTTGTGGGATTTGTCAACCTTAAGTACCTTCGTCTAAGTCAGTGTGGCCTGCAGAACCTCGGCATCCACCCGCAGGTCTTTAACTCCTCCAGCTTGGTGGAGCTGGACTTGTCTTATAACAAACTTATTGCTATTCCGACTGTTCCCACCACCCTGCAGAACCTCTACCTGGAGGCCAATCAGATACAAGGTGAGGAGCATATTCACAAAGAAAACATGCATTAAAATACACTCATGAATGTCTTTCACATTGTGAATTTAGATTTCATGTCTGTGAAGTTCCTGTTTTGTTTTTGTTTTGTTTTTTAGTGCATGAATGTGCACACATTCATACATTTTACCATTCAGTAAGTAAAATATTGATGAATTATGTGGCTAAACACCTGAGGGAGATCTGACAAACACCGCTGTGACGGGGAAGAGCTGTGGAAAATGTGAGAGGAAACTTCCACAGCCTCGCTGCTGTATCTGCACTTGGGAGGGGCTGCAAGTGGGCGAGGCCAGTTTAAGATGGAAGAGAGAGAGAGTGAAGGCAGAGGAGGGACTAAGAAAGAGTTATGGAGAGAAAAGAAGTGAGCGGAGGGTGGAGGATGGAAGAGGGGAGGGAATATTAGTTGGCTGGATGAGGGGAAAGTAGGTTACCAAAGAGGCGAGGGGAACGGTATGAAAACATCTGTGATGGATTCAGAGGTAAATGTGCCAGATGAGCCAGAAGCACAGGCTGTTCCCCTTTCCAGTCTCCCCTTTCCTCTTTCTCTGTCTGCTCCCCATCATTTTAACCTTTTTTTGGACACATATTACTTATATCACAGTGCAGCAGACTTGTCCCCAGTAGCCAAACTGTGACTCACATGACGATCCGGCAGCAGTGACCTGGTGTGCAGTTCCGGGTTTCTTGGCAAAAGAAAAAATGTGTTCTTGTTTCTCAATCTGTGATGCAGCAGACAGCGGGCCTGTGTACCAACGAGACAGACAGACAGAAAAACACTTCCACAATAACATACACCTCATCGTCTAACTAGCTAGCAGCCTGACAGCTACCGCAGTTCCTGTTTGCCAAAGCCTGCAGTTGGGCTGAGAGAAGCTCTACTACTGAAATGTCTGACAGAAAGCAAAGGAGGGTGTTGTGGTTTCCTCTGCCTCCGTTTTCACCACAGCACCTGTAAGACTTGTAATGGTAAAAGCAGACTCTGTGAGAAGAAGAGGGTTACTTGCAGACTGCACAGAGCTGCTTTGATTTGACAAATCTCCTGATGTGACCTAAGTGATTCATCTTAATTATTTGCATGTGACGAACACATGGTACATGGTGTGAAATCAAAGCTCTCTGGAATGGCTACATTGTCTTTGCAAGACAATAATGATCAGATGACTGTCTGGTGATTAATGGGTCTCAACCAATATATGTCTGTAGTTTTTTCATTCCTAAATGCTGCCTGTTTTCTGTCTTATAACCACAGAGTTCAACGTGACCAGTTTCTGCAGAGAGGTGGGACCTCTATCCTACTCCAGGATGAAAATCCTCCGATTGGATGGAAACAAATTGTCCTACCATCTGCTGCCTCCTGACTGGGTGTTCTGCCTGCGAGTGCTTCGAAGTATTTACATCTGACTCCACCTTCTGAACATGAATCAAATCTACAAGTACTGTATGTGACTGGCCAACCTCATCTAGTGCTACAAAGTAAAAATCATGACTCAACTTACAGTTTTCATTTTGTTGTCCAACTCATCATCAGTGAACTCAAACAACCCAGCCTTAAAGCTTGAAACCAGAGACAAAGACTGTAATTCATTATGCCTTCAATATGTGGATACACAGCCAAAGGAAAACTGAGCCTCAAAAGCTGCTGAGCTCGAACTTCATGCTAAACCAAAGTTATTTAATGGTAATGCAACAAGTTATGATCAAAACTTTTCTCATATCATCAGTGTAGCCCTTTGGGTTTTTCTCTCTCATTCCATGTTTTCCAAGTTCTGCCTCATCAGGGTTGTACATCTGTGTGTTATTACTGAATAGGAACGGTGACAAACCCTCTCATTTCTGACTTTACCGAATAACGCGCTCTGGTTAAACTGAGCTGTCTCAGGGCAAAAGGAAACATGATGCATGTATGAGTGGCAAAAATCAGTAGCTTTCCCATGAGGGAATCTGACTCAGTTAGCTGGACAGTGTTTAACAGCCACACCATGTCCACGCATGGAGCTGGGCGAAATAAAAAAAAATCTTGATGAAACTAACAAGTCCAAACCTCTTTTATATATAAAAAAAGTAAAATGTACTTTATACTTTGATTCACAAACTGATGTCCATAATCGTTAAGTCTGGCACAAGCAACTGAAACATAATATTGACATTAACATCTAATTACATCTTTTTTTCTTTTTTTTAAATCTATTGCAATATAATCTAGAAACAACAGGGATTCACATTAGCCTCTTGTTATTCTGTAAAATCTAACAATATAATTCAAACAGTATTTATTGCCAAATGCAAGAATACATATAATAAAAGGTAGCTAATACTGACAGGGGATATACATAATAATCAATAAAGCAGTCATCAGAATGCATATGAACACATGCAGCTATGTGTACATGTCAGTGATGTAACTGTAACTGCCCTGTTAAAGCTTGCAAATCATCCAGAGGATACAGTATTTACAGAACCAACACATTCTTCTGTACAAACACATATTTTTCAGTGGCACAACTCAGGAAAAGAACAGGAGATTATGACCATGTTTTACATTTTGGTTGGATTTGATAACTCTAATATTGGGTGTCCACCTATTAAATTCCTTTAAAGACTTTACTACGTTTGTTATAAGAGTCTTGACAGACATTGATGTAAACAGAAACTTCTCAAGTTGGTAATTCTAGTTTTTATTATTATTTCAATCGTGAGCAGTATAAACAATAGTAGCTATGTAATGTGTTCAGTATAAAAAACATTTTGTGCAGTTTAATGGAGCAAACACAGTGAGTTACATACAAAAAACAGAAAAACAAACCCAGTTGGTAAAGAGATCCGTGTAGCAGCAGATTTCAACACTGACCTCAACATTTGGCCGCCATTGATGCATTAAAGGATTTGTACCTTGGTTTTGCTTCCACTTATGTGTAACATTTCTTCACCCTGTTTCTCCAGCCTGCGTTGTTTCATGATGTCACCTCACAAGTTATTATGTCGGAGGAAGAATCTGAGAGAGTAGCAAAGCTGGTCGTGGTGCTTTAATACTACATGGATGACAGACAGACAGATGAAAGACTGGTAATTGGAGTAGAAAATTTTTGAGCAAAGCGAATGCTAACTGAATTCCTTTGTTTGTTTGTTTTTTTTAATCTAATTCTGTCACCCGTATATTTCAGTACTAAGAAATGTACCGGTTGTACTGTTTGATTTCAAATGTTTTTTAAAGACAGACACATTAGACTCCAGACAGCACTGAGTAAAACTGCTATTTCACCAAACGCTTAACCTTATTTACTCAGCATCTACGAATGACTCAACGGATGTAGTTAATCGCGCTTTAACCTCAGGTGGATCAGACTGCGCTTTATGGAACCTGACATACTAATAATACTACCATGTGTATCTTCTTACAAACCATTAAGTGTTTTCCATTGCAGTTTCCCATCATTATGTGATAAAGATCACACACCTCTGAGACGGTTTCCACATAATTATGAAATGCATCGGCAAAATTATGAGATATGCAGTTCCTGAAAAGGAAGTGCATGCTGATGCAAAACAACTCCGGGTACTAGTATTTGTTTTACTGTGTCGAAAGGAGGGGAAAAAAACGACATGTCATATAGCTCACTTTGTAAAACTGAAATAGGATCGTTTGATTAATCTATTAGGCCAATGATTACTTTCTGGGTGATCAAGAACAAAGTCGCACAGACAAACAGAAATGTCTCCAGGGGAAAACACAAAAACAACAACTTGTTGCTTGGTGCTTTGTGTTATTGGCTACTTGTCAGTGATGGAAAATAAGCAAAAATGTAGAGTTTATTTTACCATCGTTAGCATCATAAACTCAGCTGGGTTGTGTTGTTTCTACAGCATGTTTGTGTATTAGTTGTCAGTTTGTGAGTATTACAACGTGTTTGTCAGTTTGGTTGTCTGCTGGCATTTGTTTTTCCAACCTGTACAGTGTTGAACTCTCTTGGCCATTATACAGAACACATATTTCCTCAAACTAATTTTCTTGGAAATTAATCACACAACACTTGGATACAGCTACCCAACAACTTACCAATTTGTACCAAACTCTAAGTACTTTAGTGAGTGTTTGTCTCTCTCTATGCAATTGCAAAATCCACTGCCATATTTTCCAGGTGACACCATGTCTTCTAAATGTTGTGAGTGTGTTTGATGGTCTGATCAGACTTGTGCTATGTCTGGACCCACTTTTACCAGATGCAGGAGTCACTCACACAGAGTTGCTTTGAGGGACGAGCATTAACCATAAAAGTCAGTGTAAGCTGGAACTGGTGACGAGCAGCCGGCAGTCTGCTGGCTGTGTATGAAGTCATGGTGGAAGGAGACAAGCTTCAGGATAAAAAGGTCTCTGCTTCCATGTTGCTGCTGAGAGATTGTAAACACAATACAAGCTGCATCGTTCTAAGTTAAAGGAACAGTTTGATATTTTGTGATATATGCATATTTAATTCCATGTTGAGAGGTTAGAGAATTTAACTTCCATTTACTTTAGGTATTTAATACTCCCTGCTTCATATTTCACCAACATATATGAGATTGGTGTCTTGTCGTCTAACTTTAAGCAATAAAATGAGCAATTTCTTAAAATGTCTAACTTTTGTTTTCTTAATAGAACCTTTACTTAACCAAGTTTACAGATAGAAGTCAGTGCTGCTGTTTTATCATATGTCCTGCATCCGGCGACCCCTCTCATACATGTGGAGTCAAAGTACTTCACCTCTGCATGCTCAACACACTGCAACTTGACAAAACAAATGCAAATATTCCAAACTGTCAAGCTAAGACGTCTTAATTTTCTGGTGTTTCATCCATATGAGTGTGTTTTCTCAGTCTAAATTAGCATCTCTACCAATGCAAAAGTATTTTTCACTTCTGTTTGGCCATAAAAGCAACTTGGTGGGGGTTTAGGATTGTCTAGCATGGCCAGACTAATCTCCACTGTACTCTGTCTGCACAGACGTATAGTCTGCCTGCACCTTTTAGTCACAAATGTCTTGGGTGGTGCTTAGCCCAGGATGCAGTGATGGTGCCCCATTACAATAGTGACAGGGGGAAATTGTTTTGGTGGAACATCTACATACAGGGAGGTAAGTAATGTCATTGAAATGGATAATTCACTGCAATTTCCAGCGCATAGGTTGCTGCTCGGACATTGCAGTTTTTGCTTCTTGTAGTGAACACACTTTTAATAACAGTTACAAGCAGATAGTGGAAGGGGAGGAGAGAGCTATATAAACAGTACAGCAGAAATGGTAGATTTATACCTCAAGTCTACATGACTTGTAGTCAGACTAGGATTAAAGAGAGGTCAGGGCTTGGATCCATCCAGTTCAACGTCCTTCCTATTTGCACTCTGCGGCTCTATAACAACACAACATCACTTTGTCTCTACTTACAAAATATCACGAGTACTGTGGCCACTAGAGGGTGTTGTCACATTTAAATGTAACTACAGTTTGTAATACCTTGCTTTAAAAAAAATTATGTTTTTAATACAAGGACAGTCACTGTATTCCCACAACTTTTGACCATGAACTGTATGTCGCTTTAAGTAGGCTGTTCGGATTGCAATTCAGTCGTCCTCACACATTTAAACCAGACCTCTCCACATTCCTCATTTTCAGAACCACGAAGCATGGCGATCCAAAATGAAGCACAGATTTATTAGCAGAAACCAAACTGGTATTTTAGGGAGAACCACATTTGAAGTATAGTTCATAGTTTGCATTAGTGAACACTCACTTGTGCCTCCAAACCAGTAGAAGGTGCAGATGTAAGTTGTCGAGAATTGCCAGCTGGCTCCAGTTTGCACTGCAGAAGGAGGCACTGTAGAGCCAGATGGCACGTGTTAATACCAGAAAGGCTGCCTGGCACGTCACAGTGGAATGAACCACTGACTGAAGGTGCTTTTGTTGCCTTAACTGCACAGCAGTGAGGTGATTATTGTTCTTAGTAGCTGATAGCTCGTGTCACATTTTCCATCACTACTTCCAGACTAGTTGATTTACTCAACTGTGAGGATCAAAATGAAGTGGAACATTTTCAAAACAGATATGGAAAAATCTTTTACCAATAATGTTTAACATGGTAAACTTCAACTTGTCAGATAATCTGCTCCAAGCAGAATTATTTATTAATTTGTTTTGGTTTCAGACTCAGATGATATGAATTATTCTTCATTAAATTGTAGGAAATCCAGTTTAGACGTTTTTCATGTCATGGCGGAATATTTTTGCAGTCTTAAAAAAACAGAATAAAGGTCTGGCTGGTGAAATCATTAATACTCTGGCCATTCCTCTCCTCTGAATTAGACTCTGCCTTGGAAACCACCAGTCAAAACAATCTGCTATGAAGCTCCCTGCGGTGTCATAACAGCAACATAAAGAGCTGCAGAGCTCAGGACCCCTCACATATCACATCCCTCTGCTCACAGAGACATACTTTACAACTGTACGAAAATATCCTCTCAGGTTGGATAACTGGTCCAGCTACCGAAAACTCATTAGAATGGTTCTTTAAAATCTCATTCCAATTCAATTCACTGCTGTCAAAAATCTGTCTAATGTTTCCAGATGGTTCTTTGTTGCTTCTTGATTTGTTCTCCTTTTCTTTCTAGAGAATCAGTTACTGAATTTGAAACTTATAAGTCTGGGATGAAGGAAGGGAAGAAGTCACTGTGCAACTCCTCAAAGTTCGAAGGAGCATTTTAGCATCTTTGAGCTCATTGTTTTGATTTTCTGGTCAGCAGCTTCACTGTCAGACCTATTTCATGCTGCCTTCTCAGCACCAAACAGCAGACAAATACAGTTAGCAACTGGCTAGTCAACATAATGGAGCAGTTGTCCTCTCAAGGGCCATATTCTTCCCTCCAGATTTGGTAAAGGAGAGTAAACACTGGACTTCATGTTGTTTTCATATCTTGTGGTGCTGCCAGCAAATGTCCAAAAAAATCATTTAAAGCAGGCTGTCAGTAGTTTTGTTAGAATTACATGACAGGAATCAT